AAATATAGGAAAAATATTGGAAGAAATTGAGGGGCTATTGTAAAATGATTGAAACTAAAGAAACCCAAATGATTATTGCAAGGAGGTCGATTGTGAGAGAATTGATTTGGACGGTGACCAAAGTGTAGAGAGGAGACGGACGACGGGACGAACTTGGCACTTTATCCATGGACGACTCGTCGTCCACTCTTGAATTAAGTGGTATAAACCACTATTCATTCTTCTCCTTGAACGAAGGAGAAGAACAAGTAGCATCTGGCGGTTTGTAACAAACCGCCAATGTAACTCCAAAAATAAAACAACAAACGTGCCAAGTATTGGTTCCTCCAACCTCCAGCTCAACACATATGTTCCTCTCCTCGAGCCACAAACCATGCTGCTATAAGAAGAATAATAGAGGCTAGTAGGTTTGGGGTACCATTTTTCATCGGACGACCAGCGAGAGAGACAAAGCATTAAAGGGCTATGATGAGCTAGAGATGGGAGCATAAAAGGCAAACCCCTAGGGTTAAGGAAAAAAAAACGAGGGGAGGCATAAAAAAAAAAAAGAGAGAGAGAGATGAGAACAAAGGGAGAGTTAGCAATAGGGAACATAGGGAAAAAATAGAGAAAAAAGAAAGAAAAGAAAAAGAAATACAAAAGAGAGCGAGAGGAAAGAAACGAAAACCAAAAAAAAAAAAAGCAAGAAAAAGAGTCGAGTAGCTAGAAGGGAGGGGAATGAAAAGAGAAAGGAAAAGAAAATAGCTTTTGTTTGATTGTATTTATTCACGTATTTATTTTATTTTAGATAATTTATCTTGAATGTTTAATTATGTGTGCCTATTTTTCGTTTAATTTTAGATTTTAATTCTAGTTTTTCTTGAATTTTTATTTAGTTAACTTTAATTAATTTTAGTTTTAGAATTTTATTTTCAAAATTAGGTTACATAACTAAATGTTAGATGCATTGTCAAGTCTCCTAATTTTTAGGGAATGATGAAAATTTTCTATAAAAAAATATAATAAAAATGTAATAAAAAATATATAAAAAAGGTAATATATTTTAATTTTGTTTTAGTTAGTTTAAATAAGCCAATGATAGATGAATTGTCGAGTTTCCTAATTTTTTATGAACCGATGACGATTCCCCATCAATCAAAAAAAAAAAAAGGAAAAAGAAAGACTAATAGTCAATTCTTTTGTTTGGATTTTGTTTCAAAATTAGCTTAATAGTTAAAAAGTAAGAGAGTTGTAAAGTCTCCTAAATTCTTAAGGACTCGATGACGATTTCTCCCGAAATGTCAATAATTAGATTAATAGTCAATAGAGAGATGAATTGTCAAGTCTCCTAAATTTTTAGGGATTAATGACTATTTCTTTTCGGAATGTCAATAATTAGTTTAGGTAACCAAAAGATAGGTGAATTATCGAGTCTCCTAATTTCTTAGGGACCGATGACGATTTTTCCCGAAATGTCTATATTTAGATTAACGAGTTAACAAATAAGAGAAGGATTCTCCTAATTCTTAGGGATCGATGATGATTCGCCACCAAATGATAGGTCACCAACATTCAAATTGGCTTGAAAAATTGAAGTTTAAATCGAAAATAACTTGACATAAATAAAAGATTTAGGGAGATGAATTTAAGACTAAACTAGACGTGATACCCTTTTTAAAAAGGGATTTTTTTGGGTGACCTTTGTTTTCCCAAACCATAATCAACTTCTTACCCTAGAATCTCTACATCAATGCTATTTTTAAGTTCCTAGTTCCTTTAATACTAAGTGACGACTCCAAACACAATAATAACTCGCATCCCTAGAAATCCCTACAAACAAGATGCACATCTCTCGAAAATGAGAAAACCTAGAATTTTTCTCGAGTCCCTTCCGACATCGTGTAGCGATAGTATGAACGTGGCAAAAAAATGAATAAAAACTTTTGATCCAATTTTGAGGTTTTTTAGATCTATTTCGATGTCAAATGGGCCAACGATCAAAACTCATAGGTTCTACTTATGATGTAGGAGTGATTTTGGCCAAAAAAACGTCGTTTAGGCCTTCAAAATCAACTTTTACTCGTTTTTCAAGATTTTTTCTTATTATGTTTGAATTTTAATGTTTGTTTCATTTTTGAATTGCTTTAGGGTTTTGGCTGAAAATTTACTATTTATGTATGACTTTGAGGTAAAAAAAGCCACTTTTTAATAGCTACTAAAGTTTTGTGATAGAGAATCTCAATTATCTTAATTTTTGGCATTCTTTGAATAAACGAAATTGAAGTCTATTTTCTGGTATTTATGCGTAATTCAACATATTATAATAAACCGATATCTGAATTTCAAATCAATGGTAATTATCTTTTCTTTAATGAGTTTTTGCCATATCACTTATGGGGCTCAACTAGGTTGATGACAGTAGAATAATTGACTACTCTAGCTTATATGGAGCACTTTGCATGTTGCTTGCCAGAGTTTTATTTCTTGTTTAACCATTTTAAATAGACTCTCTACTAAAACCAAGCAAGCTATGATGGGAAGAATGATTGATCCTTTATGTGTTTTTTTTCTATCAGGAGAATGAAGACAGAAACCTTTTTTTTTTAATGCTCATATATTAAAGAGGTTTAGTGTTCCATTTGCATTTGTGCAGAATCCAAGACAGGTGGGTGATTAGTTTGAGGAGCTTGATTATGCTAAAAAAAATTTGCAAAATAAATGCTTTCATTTAGTCTTGTTCAGATTTGATTGGTGTGGGGTTATCTACTTTATATGGACAGAAAAGAATGCCAGAATTTTCAATGTAGTTAGCTCTCATCCCTCTGATGTTACTGACCAGATCATTCAATTTGTATAGCTTAGATTATATAAAACAAAGTTGCTATTAAAAGCCAAAAGCGATTCCTGATTTCATCATCTTTGCAGTTGGTGAAATTAATGTAACATATTACTAGATAAGTAAACTCTAACTTACCACTAGTCTAAAAGTTCCATAGTTTTCCCATGTTTTTTTATGAGATGGAAAAACGAGGGAAGAAAGATCTAATTAGACATCCAAATCTATTGAAATTAAATCCTAACAAGAAATTTTTAACTTCAAAGTTTAATGTCGAATTAAAGTTGCTATAAGGTTTTAGTTTGGAACAATATATATTGAGTAAAGTGCAAAGCAAAGAAACCAGCGAAAGAGAATTTATGTCTGTAAAATGCACAAACCTTTCTTATGTATAAGTTCCCACGGTTAATGACTTGCCTCCTCGAATTTGCAACCTCGAATTCATCAAGAACATCTTCTGCATAATAAAAGACATCCTTAAGTTCCTCTAGCCAAAGTCTTAGCTTTTGTGAATTTGACTACTTCTCCTCCACATCCAGGAGCACAGCTTTAATGATACACATAGTGTGTTTAAGCTTTTCTAGCTCACCTTCAGTACCATATGCCAATGAATTCTCCCCATAAGCCAAGGAGCCTAAATTGTCTAAAACTTTTTCATCTACGTTGAAGGCAAATTCAATCATCTTGTAATAAGAAAAAAAATGGGAAATTCAATTGTTTTAGTTCTTCGACAGAAGTTTATAAATGGTGATTTTCAGGGTCTTGGCTAGTCAAATATTGCAAATGTAACAGAAGATTAAGGATTGTTTCTTTTCACCAGTTAGTCGTTGCATTAAAGCAAAACATATTCTAAGCCTAAGATTAAGGCATGTTGTTTTCACCAGTACTTAGTCGTTGCATTGAAGCAAAGCATATTCTAAGTCCACAAAGCAAATAAGAAGCTCAATTAATTAATTAATGACGGGGGTAGTCCACCTCAATTATATATATATATATAACCATAGTTCTTTCTGAAAAGGAAAAGAAATATGAAATAGATGTGTTTATGCTTTAGTGAACAAAAGAAATGAGACATACATTGAATGAAAATGAAAAAAAGAATTGAAATAATGTTCATATTTACTGAATTTTTATAGATACATTTCATTATAGATACACAACACAAAAAAAAAAAGGTTTTACATATATATATATATATATATATATATAAAAAGTCTGGCTTTCAAAAAGAAAAAAAAATTATTTTTTCGAAGAGAAATTATCGAAAGTTTGGCTCCACAAACAACACCTTTCCAACTCCACCACTGGCATGAATCCTAGTAAATATCTAAACCATCTCATAACTTAACAGCTAAATCTATTTATAAGTCAAGTTTAATAGGATTAGGTCTTAAGGTTGGTCATATCATGTAGAAATTGCTCAATTGTAAACTACTTAATGATGACATCTTATTCTTATACATGCATAATAGCTTGTTTAGAAAATTCTAGTGGTTTTTTTTCTGGGAAAGTCATACAAAGAGCTAGACAAGGTTTTGAAGTAAGATAAGTTCATAAAGAAAAAAATTGCTCTATCGTAGTCAAAATTTTTCATGTGTGTATATGTTGAGTCTCGAAAAAGGTTTTACTCATTGCTAAAGCACATAAATATTTAGCAGAGTAAAGTTTGTCACAATCTTTATTGCATAATAGGAGCAAGAATACATAATTAATACACACACTATAGGAATTTCCAAAACCTTGATTATAGTTTTAGTGTCTAGCTTTTGGTAGAAGAATATTTCACTTCCAACAACGTTGTTTATTTTCTAATTAATAATGATTGAAATTTAGGAAGGGAATGGATAACGTGTTTTGCTAAACTTTATTCCAGATTGAGATTCATGCCATTTATAGGCTTACAAGTGTGTATAGAGTAGAACTCTTGAACCTTTACAATGTTTATCTATTTACAAGGATAAGCCTTAGCTATTGTCACAGTATTTGACTTGGATGCTACTGTGAGGAGTCGTGATTGCTGCTATTATGATATGTCGTGTGTGCTGGCGTTTCTAGAGGAAGAGACCCTGTTGAGACAGGGGAGGTTACATAGAGAGACTTGGTTGGAGAGGGAGACTCTGTCGTTAATAATGATCAACAACATTTATTTTTCTACAATTTAGCTGAGCTTGACACTTTTTTGGGATCAACAATTCAACTGGGGCACCATGACATCTTGCAGAGCTACAAGTTGTGCTTGACCACCAAACTCTTTGGGTAAGACCTCCTCACCAATTTTCTCCACAAACTCGTTTCTTGCTTTTTCATTGTTCTTCACTATTTCAACCTGCAATAATATATCATCACAGATTTTGCAACCTGTAGTTAATATAATAAAGAAAAATAAATGATAATGTCATAAGGTTTCATTGGGATCAACATCAGAGAATGAGTCGGTGATCTTCGCTTCTTCAAATTGAAATTAAATACGGACTTCCAAAAAGAAAATTTGTGTCATGTGTTGATTTATTGAAATGGAGATTGTCACTTAAAATTTATGCCATTCTAGAAAATTATTTGTTAGGTACAAACTAGACTAATGGACAAACAATGCGTGAAGAAATAGTTAGAATCACATCACACATAAACTAGGCCAATTAAGCAAGGAGGAAAAGAATACATGGGACTAAAGCTTTTAAACAAATTCTGCAATTAAAATTTTTTAACTGTAATATTGTTATACTCATTATTTGGAGCTCTTGACAAAAAGAGGAGTTAATTATAATAAGATATCTATATGGACTATAATCAAGTAGGTTGATAGCTTTATAGGCTAATAGATTTATTCTTTGTTACTATTTTATCACTGTAACTCGTTTTCGTAATCCTTAATAACTAAATTCCTACATGAATAGTATCTTTGGATGAAAAATCTCAATCTATAAGTATCTTTTGTCATCAATTAATGAATTTTTTTTTTTTTTTGTTCATTATTTTATCTTTGTTTCCAAACCCTCTTAATTGAGGCCTACATAAAAATTTATCATACCTTTTCTCTTACTCCTTTGTCAAGGTAGAGGCAAACCATCTTCCAAACACTTTGAAAGAACCGTGGCATATATAGCAAATACAACTTTGCTAAACGCTCAGGATAGTAAGCCTACATGAACAGGAAGCCACAGATGATGTGAAATTCTTTCATATACTAATTACATTGAAGTTAATTGAAAGTATGAATAATGAAACGAATCACGCAAGTTTTAACACACCACAGTGTTGTTTTATTATTATTATTATTATTATTATTATTGTTATTGTTATTGTTATTGTTATTATTATTATTATTATTATTTAATAAGGATTGAGCTAATAAGCTTCCTCACTTGCACACTCATATGTGTTATATACATCCTCACAGCAAAATCACTTGGAATTTTCCAATATCAAAAATAGGATATTCAAAATTCAAAATAAGTAATGAGTAATTATCCTAAAATAAGTTTAGCTTGTGGTACGTAATACTTATTTTTAGAGGTAACCTTAATTTAGATTCTACACTATAACTCAAAATTTATTCAATTAGGTCCCTAATCATGATCTTTAAAACCATATTTGTCAATTGAATCATTTTTCTCTGCTCCGCATTGACATTTTCATCATATATGCAGATAGTATGCAACAAATTAAAACTAATATGTGCCACTTTGAAGAAAATTTTATGATAAATAATTCAATATGTTTTTATATAATACTATGAGTTTTTAATCTGTCTTTGTATTTCTAATTATATATATATTATGTATTTGAATAATATTTAAGTTTTTAATTTGTTTTTTCTATCAATTTTTCTACCATGAACAAATTTTTTTAACTAAAATACCCCTTATTGAAATGAAAGGAAAAAAAAAAAAAAAAAGACTTGATGTTCTATTTCTAAAATCTTTTAATTAATTTAATTAATTAATTTATTTATTTTTCATCCAAATCTGGAGCATTTCGCTAAAAATTTAAAAAAATTGATCGAAAAAATAGATTGAAGACTTATATTATTTAGAGACATAATAAATACAATTAAAAACATAAAGACAAATTAAAAAATCAAGCTATTATATAAAAAAAGATTGAGTTGTTTACTTTAAAATTCATGAAAGATATATACTAATGGTAAATGAACTAAAAATTTATCAATTAGATATTGAATATTTTAAACATTTCTCAAATAGGTCTTTCTATCCATGTCTTCTAATTTTTATTTTATTCAAAATGACATATTCTTATTGCATAAAATGTACACATTACATAAAAATAAAAATAAAAATAAAATAAAACATTAACTGATACTGAGAAAAGTATCCAGCAGAGAAATGTTTAGCAATTAGGACCCAATTTAATCATAGTTTTCATAATAGAGTAACAAAAAATTTATTTACTCTATTAGGAATAAACTAAAGAATCGGATAAAAGGTTAAATACAAATTGAGGTTAAATGACTTGACCAAGAGTAATACAAAAAAAGGTAAAGATAGCATGTGAATGCTTTTGTCATATACTTTATTTATAATTTTTCATTTCTCTCTTTATTATAATTTAAATATTAGATAGTTGAGATTAGGTTTTATTCAAAAATAAATAAATAAACTTTATAGTGGATGGTTCATTCAACATCTATTATATTATTTTATGTTTTTATATTTATTTAATGTGAGATAAATTTAACACTTTCTTTCATTTAGAGCTCATTTTTTGGAGTATATTTAGTGATTTGAGTTTTAATATTTTTATGGAATTGTTGAACCTCTTGGAAACTTTAATATCATATTAAATTAGATAATTAAGATTAAATTCCATTTAAAAAACTTAAATTTTATGATGGTTAACTCATTCAACATGTTTTATATCACTTTATATTTTTGAATTTATTTAATGTGAGATACATTCTCTCTAACACAATGCATTAATAAAGTTTTCCTTTTTTCTTTTTCTTTTTTTTTTTTTTTGTAAGGAAAGAAAAAACAAAGAAAGAAACACTTTTAGGAAAATTACCTGCAAAAATTGTACAGAATTGATTAATCCACGTGGATCAAAGTTCTTGAAAGTTAGTTGCCGTAGATCAACAAGGCCAATGAACTTCTCATTTCCCATTTCATGCCCTTTGATTGCCCTGAAACAGCATAAACAATACTCTTATTCTTTATGCAAATCAGAAAATGTACTCTACATTTTACGTTTCCGCTCACTAGAAATGACTTCGTACGAAGAATGGAAACAATTTTTTTTTCTTTTTTTTTTTTAATAAAAAATAATAGTTGTCCGGGACAAAATTGAGTAGAGTCAGGTTTAGGTTAGGATGAAGATAAGAGGAAAATAGGGATAATTACCCTACAAGTACATGAATTTTTAATTTTTTTCAATCGAATACATAAATTTTAATTTTCTGAGTTCATCGATTTTTTTAAACAAATTATCAATCAAATACTTTCGTTAATTTCTCTATTAGGTGATGATATGTCCGTTATTCATAGAATACTAAATTGTTTTATCCTCTTTTTTTCTCAATCGAATACAAGAGCTTTAATTATTTTCGTTTATACATATTTATTTTTTCAAAATTACCAATCAAGTACTTTTGTTAATTTTTTTTCATTAACTAATGTAGTGTCTATTGCCTCCAAAATATTACATTATAAATTTACCCTTTTTTTGTTGGAGGGAAATTTTCCTCAAAGTACTCTACCATTCCAAAATTTAACAAATAATTAAAAAAAATTATTTTTTTAACTATAAAACCTTAATCTAAACTCAGTTGGTTCTAGCCAAAAAAATGAAAGAAAAACACAAACGTGAGATTTTTTTTATCAAGAAGATTCATTGCTTGTAAGCATTTGAAAGAAAAAGAAAAATTATGTCCAACTAAAAGAGAATAAAATAATAATTTGATACTCTAGAAGTGCAAACATGTTATCAATTAATGAGAAAAAATTGACGAAAGTAATTGATTTGATAATTTTTTTTTAAAAAAAAGTGTACTTAAATAAAAAAAAATTGAAGTTCATGTAACTAATTGAGAAAAATATGACGAATATTTTGGAGGCAACGAGATACATTATTAGTTAAGAAAAATTGACGAATGTACATGATTGGTTATTTTGAAAAAAAATTATCTACTTAAATAAAAAAAATTAATACTTAATTGAAAAAAATTAAAAATTGGTACATGTATAGTGTAATTATCCCGAGAAAAATATAAGCAGCCAAAATACTAATAAATGGAAATATCAAATGAATCCCTCATTAGCCTGAAATTATAAAAATTGGTTCAAAATAGCGTTTTCCAGTTATCAGGAAATATCTGCTTGAAAAATGGAAATGATACATTCAGCATTAATTGGAAGTGTTATGGTTTACCAACTTTACCTTGCAATAGCTTTGTCCAACATATATACCACAAACCCTGCACCAAGAGGAAAACAGTAGATGAATCAAATTTCTTGTCAGCTAATGTCACATGCATGGGAGTGAAAAAAGAAAAAAAAATTACTTAAATGATATGGAAATTTTGGATATATACTTTTGCATTGAAGGTGATCCTTGCAGGGAAAATGCCTACTTCCCTTGAAAATTAAAACAGGATAACCATCTTTTGATAAACCTTGCAAATAGGTCTTTCTTGCTTCCAACTCATCAGGAATTTGAGATTCAAGAATAAACCCATTTGGAACAAAACTAGCCCTCCATGTCTGCCACTGCACAAACATTTTTGCTGCCTTTTCTGGGTCCATTTTTCTTGCCTTCAAGAACCTTGTCAATGTTAGGTCCCCATACCTCTGCCAATAAAACCATCAAGTGAACAAAGAATCGAACCGCAACTCAAATAAAAAGGGCACAAATTTACACTTCTAATGGATATCGTGGTGCATGTCGTGGGGAAGGCATATACCTCAGTAGAACCACCAAGCTTTTGAACTGATTTTCTCATCCGGTCAAGTGCAATTTCTTCCTTTTTATCCATTTGGCAAGCCAGTAAAGCTTGCTTTGAGTTAAGGTTAAGGTTAAACAAGAAGGGTTGTCAACCTCTTTAATTTATAGAACATTTTTCTTGAGTTAGAAGTTGCGTAGAGACAAAGCAGGAAACGTACAGAAACTGGTATAATAAGGAAAAGAATACCTTTTTTTAATCTCCCCCACCCCCCAAGAGAAAGGACGTAGAATCTGTGTCGCAGACGGGGAGAGCTGATTAGTTTCCTTTTACTTTTGTTTGAAGTGGCCGACATGGAATCTAACATGTGTTAGGTTGCTGATTAATTAGTTATTATTATAAATAACGTGTTACATGAAAGGATAGAAATCATTAGATCCCAAATAATCAGGATATTATAAATAATGATAATAATAATAATAAAAAAAAGAAATCTATTCTTCTTAACGAAAAATCGGATCAAACACATCCATTTATATCAAGGAACAAGGGAAACTTTATTTATTCTTTTGATCTTTTTTATGGAGTTTAATCAAATTAAAGATATAATCCTCTACTGATCCATGCATTTCATTATCATTTATGAGGGTTTCATTTGATAATTTCAAACAAATTAATAAAAAATAAAATTTAACACAATATAAAATATCAAAATTAGAAAAAACAAATGAATTCAAAATTTTTCAAAGAAATAATATACAAAAAAAAAAAATTGAGAACTAAATTATAACAAAATCATTGGAGTTGATAAAATAAAAATGAAAAAAAATAATTAAATAGTTTGCATGCTTGTTTACTGAATAATTTTATAGATACATTCATTACATATACACATTATCAAAAAAGTTTGTTATTTTTTTAGAAGATCTGGCTTTCAAAAAAAAAAAATTGTTTTTTTGAGATCATCAAAAGTTTGGCCCCAAACAAAAACTACCTAGCTGAATAAAAAAATTGTTTTTTAGAAGATCTGGCTTATAAGGTTGGTCATATCATGTAGAAATTGCTCAGTTGTAGACTACTTAATTATGGCATCTTGTTATTATATACAACGTTAAAAAGAAAAGACGACGCCGTCATTTGTCTCGCTAGCACTTATGAGTCAGTTGTCCGAATATCAAAAAATTGACTCTTTTTGCTATAACTTTTTTTATAATAAAAAATAAGTCATTAATATAAATTACTTCATAGAGATATATACAAATAATAATAATAATAATAATAATAATAAATAAAATAATTAATTATTTCTTAAGCATTATAAAATTTTTTAATTTTCAAATCTATATATTCACACCTTTTCACCCAAAAACACATCGAAGTCATCCTTGTAACCTTGATAAATCCATTTCCGATAAAAATAAAAAATAATTCACGTTCGAATATCCATAAAGTAAAAAGCAATGTTCCCAAGCCATTATATATATCCATTTTTTTCCTACAACTCTTTCATACAATGTGTTTGGGTTTTAGGACCAACATCATTCAACTCTTGGCGTCTCCCTCAACTGATCGCGATGATTTTTTTGGCATCCATCCCTTTTTCCGAGGGCGAAATGTTCTTTCCTCTCTCTTTGTTTGTTTGTTCCTTTGCTGTTGAAAGTGGGAGACCAAACAAAGTTATCAGAAGAACAAGATTAATGATTGGAGCCATGGGAGAAGGAGGAAGAAGATTCGACAAAAAGCATCTATATTTAGTACTCCATGAAGAGCATATGTATTTTTCAATTATTCTATAGATCTAGAAAAATATACTGTGTACGCATATAATGAGCCCGTGAGTAGTTTGGTGTTAGGACCAACTGTAATAGGAAAGCTAAAATGCTTAATCTATTCACTACAAACAAAAGACATGTGAAGAGCTCTTTTGGCAGATTATGTAGAGAAACGATCTACTAGAAGTTTACAAACTACAACTCCGGCAGATAATTGACAGGTAGTGGGGGATTGATTTGGACGCTCAATAATTCCTCAGATTGGAACAGATCACTGTCAGGTTGTCCAAGGCATAAAAGAACAATATTGCAGGGAGGTAGCAATTGAAATTTTCTGATGTTGCTGTGGCTTGCTTTCTGACCCATTTTTGTTTTTTACTTTGCATTTGTGGCTACGTTTTAAGCAAACTGAATGGCTATCCTCGAACTGTCAAACTTCTTCCCTGTTAGATCTACGTTTTAAGAATATGGAGTATTTTAAAGGATTATACAAAATTAAAGATAAATATAAGTTAACCATAAGATTGTAGTTTGATAGTGTGTAAATATTGACTTGTAAGTTAAGTTTAAAATTTGATTTATATGGTCAATATTATTAAAATTTTATTTTTAAAATATTCGAAGTTGTATATTGAGAAGTGTCTTTTAATCATCTTTAGAAAAAAAATTAGTCTTAAAATATATAAAAATTGATTCGAAAACACTTTTACTGCTATACCTAAAAAAAATAAATACAAATTAGAGCATAAAAATAATAAAAATAAACAATATGAAGCTTTGTATGGTAACATGTAAGTTGAAAAAAATATGGATTAAATGACAATAAATATAAGTTGTAACGGGGGAAAAAAAAACAATTAACTTTAACAGTAAACCACAAAAAGCCAAAACCTTAAATTTATAAGTGGTAGCATCCCAGAAAAGAGAGAAACGGGATATTGTTTGCCTAATTACCAAACCAAAACCTGTTATAAACTCGAGTAACTCGACCCCTAGAAATCATTTCTCATTCCGCTTCCTTCTCTATCTTCATTGCAGTACAGGCAACAAAATGGATGCCTCATCTTCCTCTTTCCTCTCTGCAATGCAACCTTCAAAGCTCCTTACCCGGATCATGTCCATGCCTAAATCTGCTGTCACAACCACAGCACCATCTCTGTCTCCTCATCTTCCTCTCCTCAATGTATCATCAGTTAGAATAGATGAAAAGCACCAGAACTCAAGTACAGGACCTACCACCAGAAGAAGTACTTCACGCCCAGCTGCATCACCAACAGCAACATTTCCTGCTGCAACCCTGCCCACTATGATGTTCAATGCATTGAAGAACCTCATCAACAACTTCATAGACCCTCCACTTCGGCCATCAGTGGATCCTAGATGTGTACTTCGTGACAACTTTGCTCCAGTTGATGAACTTCCTCCAACTGAGTGTGAGGTGATACAAGGATCTCTTCCACAGTGCCTTGATGGTGCATACATCCGCAATGGCCCAAACCCTCAGTACTTCCCTCGAGGACCTTACCACTTATTTGATGGTGATGGGATGCTTCACTCCATCAGGATCACCCAAGGGAAAGCCATTCTCTGCAGTCGCTATGTCAAGACTTACAAATATACCATGGAGCGTGATGCTGGGGCCCCTCTTCTTCCGAATGTCTTCTCTGGATTCAAAGGACTCGCTCCTTCCGTAGCTCGCATTGCTCTCTTTGCTGCTCGAATTTTAGCTGGTCAATTTGATCCTGCTAATGGCATTGGTCTAGCAAACACTAGCGTGACTTATTTGGGAAACCGTCTCTATGCCCTTGGCGAGTCGGATCTACCTTATGCTTTGCGTTTGACGTCCGATGGAGACATAGAGACATTGGGTCGTCATGATTTTGATGGGAAGCTGCTGATGAGCATGACTGCTCATCCCAAGATAGACTTGGAGACAGGTGAGGCCTTTGCTTTTAGATACAATGTTGTTCCTCCATTTCTAACATACTTTCGCTTCCATGCAAATGGAAATAAACTCCCAGACGTGCCCATAGTCTCCATGACCAGGCCTTCTTTCCTCCATGACTTTGGAATTACCAGCAAGTATGCTATATTTGCCGACATACAGATTGGGATGAACCTCATGGAAATGGTCTTTGGAGGAGGTTCACCTATAAGTTATGACCCATCAAAAGTACCTAGGCTTGGAATCATCCCTCGATATGCGGAGGATGAGTCAGAGATGAAATGGTTCGATGTGCCAGGGTTCAACCTCATACATGCAATCAATGCGTGGGATGAAGAGGATGCCATAGTCATGTTAGCAACAAACATTTTATCAGTAGAACACATAATAGAGAGAATGGACCTTGTCCATGCCTTGGTTGAGAAAGTGAGAATAGACTTGAAAACAGGCGTAGTTACAAGAAACCCACTTTCAGCTAGAAACCTGGACTTTGGGGTGATAAACCCCGCTTATTTAGGGAAGAAAAACAGATTTGTGTATGCAGCAATAGATGACCCAATGCCAAAGATATCAGGGCTGGTGAAGTTGGATGTATCCAAAGGAGAGCAGCAGGACTGCACGGTGGCTAGCAGGATGTATGGGCCAGGATGCTACGGTGGCGAGCCTTTCTTTGTAGCAAGGGAGCCTGAGAATCCAGACGCAGAGGAGGATGATGGGTACGTGGTGTCATATGTTCATGATGAGATGGCTGGAGAGTCCAAGTTTTTGGTGATGGATGCAAAATCACCTGAGCTTGATATTGTAGCTGCCGTGAAGTTGCCTCGGAGGGTTCCTTATGGTTTTCATGGACTTTTTGTGAGGGAAAGCGACCTGAAAAAGATGTGGCTAGAAACCGGAACCGGACAGCAGGAAATGTATAGTTAATTACTTCTACTCCAGAACTACAGAAAAAACACAGGGATGAAATTGCAAACTATCTTCAGTTCAGGATTAAATTGTATCCATTAGAAAACTAATGGTCCCACTCTGGTTGTGTACTTACGCGTTATAATATTAATTGTGATGGATTTTAATACATACCGTGATTTATTTATTTATTTTGTTCCTCGCTCTTGCGGATTGATGCAAAAAAGAAAGTGAAGGGATTTGAGATTTTATTTTTAAGGGGATTGTTTGTATATCCCATTCCCTATATATTAATAAAACATAAAATGATAAAACAAAATGGCACAAAAACATTTATTTAGATTGTTAATGTTGTTGTTTTTATTGAATAATAAACTATACAATGGTTTGCAATGTATGGTGGGGTCTCAAACGAAACATAAATTAACTGCCTGCGTGTGTATATATATATATAATCAGTAACTATATATATATAAGCATAGATTTTATATTGAAAATGTTTTTAAGAACCACATACAATAAAGTACTTTATTAGCAAATACTAAATATATTTTCATATTTTAAAAAAATCATCATACCAGAATAGAAAAAGACTCCATTTAAGGAAAATATTTATCTTTAATTTTTATATGAAAATACAAAATATATGTATATACTAATATATAAATTCAAATGTATATCTAATTAAGAAAGAGACTAAGGCTATGTTTGTTTGGTGGAAAACAAGTTTCATAGGAAAATTGATTTCTGAGGAAGCTATTTTTCAAGAAATTATTTTCCAAAAACATATTTTACTGCCGTTTGGCAATTACATGAAAATACTGCTAGAAAATAAATTTCAGCGTTTATTTGATACGAAAAACTAAAATACAAAAAACATATATGATTATTATATCAACAAGTTTTGAGAAATTTTCAAAAATACATATTCATAATTTCATAATATAAGATACATTTAGAAAAAATTAATAAATTTTCATAAATACTAACTCTAAAACTTTAATTCAAAAAATAAAATATACTTTTTTAACCATCAAACCAATTCATCAAAATTACTTAGGACAAAATCAAGTCAATATTCACATTTAGTCAAAAAAAAAGATTCTAAGTAATCCAAGCATTGTTATTTTAGTAACTCGGTTAAGAATTCTCTTTTATAAAATAAAAATAAATTGATAATTTTGTATGAAAAATAGTTTTATAAATTATAAATTATCATTTATAGATAATTATTCATTTGATCTCAAAAGATTAATATTGGAATAATTTGTAACTAATTATTCACTACAATTACCAACAAAATTTTGCAATTGATTAAAATTTAAATTATTGATTTAATTGCAAATGAATAGTGTTAAAAAAAATAATGTATCTATTGACGAGTTAATTAATTTTAATTTTTTTACAAAAAATTATAGTCTTGTAATAATCATTTTCAATCATTTAAGTATAGTTTAGATGGTGTTTGAGATAATAGTAAAACAAAAGAGATAAATTATTTATTATAAAAATAATTTTAAGGTGTAAAAATAATTTTTAAGAATATTTAATGTATCTATAAATCAAAAAATTAAATATTATTAAAAATAGAGAAAAATAATTAAATAATTAATAATAATTGATAAGGAATAATTGAAATTAATTTTATATATTTTAAATAAAAAGAAGATATAGAAAAAAATTACTAAAATATATTGAGAGAGGTAAGTAACACGAGAGCGAGACGGCTCGTGAGAAGAAAAATGTTTCTTCTTTTAAAACTGGAAAAACATTTTTTCAAAAATACTCTATTATTTTTCGTTGTCTAAAAATCATTTTTCGTTGACTTTTTTCCTAAATATAAAACAAACAATGAAAAATAGAGAAAACAAGTTCCTAAAACTTATTTTCCCTCAAACAAACACAGACCTAAGACATCAAAATAGTTTTAATCCCAATTTTCCATTATATATCTATTTATACATTCATAAAATGTTTAATAATATAAAATAAACTCTTAAATCACCTCTAACCTATATAGTACCTTATAAGTACTTGATTAAAATATATCAACAAAAGCTAATAATTAAAATATAAAAATTAATAAAATTACACCGAAACTACAAGATACTCTTTTTATATATGAGATTCTTTTCTATTCGCCAGTATCGTTATTAAAAAAAAAACTCCTTTAAAGAAAATAAATTCATCCTACATATAATTAAAATCCAAAAATAATAAAATAAATTCAATAAATTTTTAAAGTAGACCTTGGTTATTTTTTTATAGCTAGGAAACCCTTAGTTATTTTCTTATGTTATCTTTGACTCCTTAAATAAAACAATTTATACATTTTAACAAACTCTGCTAATTAAAAAAAAAAAAAAAAGTCTACCTAGTGAAAAAGGAAGCATAGATTTTGTTATTTCATGCTTACATCTTTAATATTTGCCTTAGGATTCATAAAAACTAAAATGGTAATACCACCACCTTATTTATACTTTAAGAGAGATTTTAATAGTAAAAAAAATTATTC